AACAAATACACATTTCAGTAAGTTGTAACTCCTTTTTTTTTTAATTCTTTTTTTGTCCCAGGCGACAGTTCCAGACATTAAGTGTCACTGTTGTCTCTCTTGACTTTTTTTTTATGTGCAAATTGCAAGTGCAAGCAACGACACATAGTGCATTTTGCCACAGAAGTCATATTCATGTTTGGGACTACATGACAGGGCTGTGCGGCCATCTCTTTGTCAAATGGCAATTTGTAATGCGCTATCCTGGTGTCAACCAGGCCCGGTCGAACACAAGCACCTGCGGACCTTAACCAAGGTTCCCCCAAAATTGCATTCGTTAGTGAATGAATCTCGGCCAGTGGAATTGGACTTCCCATTGAGTCTGTGGCACACTCATCCAGGGTAGGGGTCGACCATTTTGATGTTCAGCCTAAGGTAGGATTTGAACTTGGGTCTACCGATCATGAGTATGGTGCGACAACCACTATGCTTACCAGTGACCGGTGTTTTATCTTTATGTAGTAAAAATCATTTTCCTCTCCTAACTGTGACAAATATTTTACCTGCCAAATTTTTATTTACATAAACCCTAACCCTGGGAACTTTTACACAATTCTTGTTGTTCTATAAGGGACCTTGAGATTAATATAGTACATTATCATTAAAAATACAAAATGTTGTTATACTATTATTAATACGTATCCAATCATTTATTTAATTTATATCTTCATTAAGTCAGACAATCACCAGTGGGATAAACATGTAACAAAAACTCATTGTTTGTATCCATTCTGATTCTGAAGAGGCTTGTAATATTTACGCTATGTTTTTCTCTGAAAAACTGAAATGAAATGAACAAGCAGACATCTGAATAGTGGATACAGATATTCCAGTCTAGTTTTGATCACAACAAGTTTTTTTTTAAATATTCATTAGGAGGAGTTCAACTATTAAAAGTAGGCAGTCAAAATCACACTGATTTTGGAAACGTGTCACTTAAGATATTTTTAGAGAAAACACAAAGCTAAGGAAACCTAAACAATGCTTGTTTTGATTTTACAATGATTGTCACATATAATTAGAAACCAATCAAACAATGTGTTACGGGTAGTTGCTTTTGATATGTGTAAATATTGGTCAGATTATTGTTATTGGAAATCCAGGCATGCATGGTACAGTAGTTAGTGTGTTCGCATCACATCAGAGAGGCTGTATGTTTGATCCCTGGAGCCAGATACTGGTAACTTGGCTTCCTACACCACCAATCATGCAGTATGACCATCAGGTGGGAACAATCAAGTCTGGTTAAAGAACTCCTCATTGCTAAGATAAGCTGATTTACGTAATAATTGCTTGTTCCTCTCATGTCTATAGATGTGGAGCTCGGCGTCTAAATTTGCAATTATATTCTTTGTTTCTAATATCGTTTCTCATACATTTACATATTTTTGACAAAAACAATATTTTCAGACCACCTAAACCAGCTCCAATCACCTCACAGTCTGCTCAGATTGCTGCCAATTTACCAGCAGAATTTGACTGGCGGAACGTGGGCGGAGTGAACTATGTAACACCTGTACGAAATCAAGCATCATGTGGTAGCTGCTTTGCATTCGCATCCGCTGGAATGTACGAATCAAGGCTAAAAGTGATGACTGCTAATGAAGTGAATATAACAATATCACCACAAGATGTGGTCCAGTGTTGTAATTACTCCCAAGGTAAGGTGTTGCTACTAACAGTACTAATTCTATTTGCAAGTTTGATGAGATTCTCTTAGAAATAGCAAATAGAGAATTTTCTATTTATGGATGAAAGTACAATATGTAAATTTCTGAAATTGGGTACTGATTTTGAATTTAATTATTTTTATATATTTAAAATTTTTCCATACTAGAATCATCATTATTTTAATACTATTTCTATTATTATCATATTTCAAAATTGATTTTGATTATCACATTTCAGGCTGATCTAGTTCATTTCTGGAATCAAGTACAAATTTGGATGAGGAAGATCACAATTAATAATTGTATCCACTTTAAGTGACATCCCCATCATAGTATTCAAATTAGGTGATATCCCATAATAACATTCAACTTGAGTAATATCCCATAATAACATTCAACTTGAGTTATATCCCATAATAACATTCAACTTGAGTGATATCCCATAATAACATTCAACTTGAGTTATATCCCATAATAAAATTCAACTTGAGTGATATCCCATAATAACATTCAACTTGAGTAATATCCCATAATAACATTCAACTTGAGTGGTATCCATAATAATATTCAAATTAAGTGACATCCCATACTTGCCCGAACATAATATGTACATTGTTTTTACTGTTTTTAAATGAAAAACAAAATTGATTATCATATTTCAGGGTGCTCTGGCGGTTTTCCATACTTGGTTAGCAAGTATTCTGAAGACTTTGGATTTGTAGAAGAAACCTGCCTGCCATACACCGCTCAAGATGGACCATGTGTCAGTGAGATAAAATGTAAACGACATTACGGAACAAAGTACCGCTATGTTGGTGATTTCTATGGTGGATGCAATGAGGCCTTAATGAAAATTGAACTTGTCAAAAATGGACCAATGGCTGTTGCTTTTATGGTTTATGATGATTTTATGTCCTACCAAGGCGGTATTTACCACCACACTGGGTTACAGGATAAATTTAACCCATTCGAAATCACAAATCATGCCGTACTGTTGGTCGGGTATGGATACGATCATGATACCAAAGAAAAGTTTTGGATTGTCAAAAATAGCTGGGGTACTGGATGGGGGGAGGAGGGTTATTTCCGTATTCGTAGAGGTAATGATGAATGTTCAATTGAAAGCATTGCTGTGGAGTCAACGCCAATTCTATAAATTGATGTACTTAATATTATAAATTGTACTGTCCCTTAGAGTTTAGTTTGTGCGTTTTAATTACCATATGATGAACAGCAGCTTAAAGCGAGAGGGTCGTCACCTGAGCACACGAGGGAATTAAGTCCAAAGCGATGATAACCACGCTAAAAGCGCAAAGGCTCATGGGTAAACGCTTCTTTGTAAACATTGACACACTATGGCCATCTGAAGCATCCGCAGGCGACGGCTCCCTCGCTTTAATTAATTACCATATAATTTCAGTTGTGGCATAAACTTGTAATGCAATCATTCCAGTGAGCGTCTCATAGCTTTGCTGTTAACACTTGATGTACATGCTTGGAGTTATGGATTATTAGCATTTGTTTGATAATAAAATTGGATTGGAATTTTAACATATACAAGAAATCATTGTATGAACAAATCAATTACTGTCAATGTTCTCTTGGCAAAAAACATCAAAATCAGTATAAATGTGTCGAATCTTATTATCTACTTTGATGAACACACTGAACTGTGACAGGTGTAGCAGAACAGTGAGCTATATTATCAAAGTAAATTATTAATTCACCACAGTTTTATCACATGACATGCTTGGTGTAAACAAGTATTTTACAAGTGTTCATGTCGTTGTGTACGTAATATTGCATTTAAAGTGGCAATAGCTGTAAATATTAATTTTTTTTCCCTCCCATTTATATATTTAATAAAAAAATTCCTTTGTAGTTAGTGCCAATTTGTAATGGCTGTCCACAAAATGTGGACATTGAATTCATAGCATATACACTATATATCAACGTTATTTGCAAGTGAAAAAAGCTGGCTGCAGGGGTGTGTCTGTTTTACATAGGGTGTTATCTATTGATATCAAGTTTGTCAAGCAAACCTCTGGAATAACGATAACAGGATGACAACTTATCCTGGACGAAATGTTTAATATGTTCATCTTCAAAGGCTAAGTCTTGCTGTGACAGTTCTCACTAAAAGTGTGTGTCATGCATCATTGTCAACTGGCTTGCATTCAATTTGTTTTCAACACCTTAAGTAGTATGCAAATTTTTTATGGGGTTACTCTTCTGTGATCCACATGTTTTTGTACTCATACTAGTGTCAACCACACAAGCAAATAATATGCTGCTTTAATAAGGTAACAAGTTTTTCCAATGTTTTCCTCCACTATTGTGTGCTGGATGCCAGAGGAAGGTGTGGACTGTAAGCAATATAGTAGACATCAATTATTGAGCTGAAAATTCTGTTACATAGACACATTATTGTGTTGGTGAAAAAATGATACATGTATTGTTTGTACTTGATCGGAAACATATAATGTAGAAGCATTTTTATTGATTGCTTAGGTATCACAGGACGATTGTACTGTCAGGGTGATATACTGTACATTATATAATATTTCATATTATTTTCTGTATTGACTTTCTGTG